ATTCTCGACGGTTCAACAAGTAATCACGGAAAAACTTTACTGTTAGTGTACAAGAAGCAGTTGAAATTTAATTACAAACATTCAGAAAAAATAAAAACGAATGGCAAATCTAAAACTATTTGTGTAAAAATGATTAAAATGTCAATAATCATTTCAGCTTGTGTTATTATTGTTCATTTATTGTTACAGACGAGTCAGTGATAGCCTGGTTAATTACGGCTAATTATGGCCCAGTCCTGCTCTGTCCCAACCATTTATAATAATTGCCCCTTGGCTGTGTAGATCTTAGAAAGCGCCGATTACCCAATTAGTATGAGGCACTTTTACAATTGAGAGTTTGAAATCAATTTTAATCGCCTAGATTTTCCCCCGATTTTCGTTTGAGCGTTGTGAAAATGCGTATAAAGTATACTCATGGTAAACATTTTATCTACTTAAGGGGCGGATATAAGATTTTAAATGGACGCAATGCACAGAATATCTTGAATAATGCGTAAGCAGACCTCACGCTACCATTTTACCTAGTTAATGGGCGGATATAAAATTTTTATTTGATTCAAAAATACTCGTGGAAATAAAAAAAAAATGTGACCACTCCTTCGCGGAAATAAATCGTCGCGGATAAGTTCTCTGGCGGTCAGTCGCGAGTAAAAAATGACGCGTATAATAATTGGTTTACAGTATATTGAATTTGACTATGGAATGTTTAATCTACCAGGCCAATACATGTGGCTTACGACAGGTGTGGCTGTTCAACTTAAGATGCTTACTCCTCCGAAACACCCGATCCCAGTTCTCAAATTTCCAGGAGTCCGAATTTGTATACATTAAAATATACACAGATAAATTCAACTCAATTGAACTGTCCTTTATCACTGTATTTTTACTTTTAATAATAAAGTGATTATTCTAAATAAATAAAAAAAAACTTATATAAAGTAGTTCATCATAAATATATTCATAAACATTATAAATATTGACTGAAGTTGACTGAACTTCCTGGTTCATAACCGTAAGGTGGTATTTACCTTAATAACCTTTACCAAAGCTGAAGATCGCTAACCACGTCACTATTAATTCCCTTACAGATTTCAAAATTAATTTTCTCGAAGGAGTAATTATACGTCTATGCAGAGTTTCCGAACTCCTTTCAAAAATCTAAAGCAAAATTCAATAGCTCATTAAATCGAATAAGAAGAATATTCTTATTCTGATAACAAGAGCATCAGGAACAGTAGATAGTTCGTTCTTTACAAATGAAGCTATTTACACAATGATTTCATTGCTATGAATCATAAACTAAAAAGGGGGGAGGGGAGGCTAAAAAAAACCTGAAAAAAATCCTATCATAATGTAGGAAACTTTAAGGTATATCTGAAGAGTTTGAATTTCCAATAATAATACATCAAAACTGATCTCTTTCACAAACAAATCGTGTCAAAATAAGTGTCATGTTCTGACATGGTCTCACTTTCCGTCGCATACATTCTACGGTACGTCTAACGTCCAGGATAATTCCGAGGGGATTTGTGTATTGGCTGGCATTTATCCGAGCATTTCATCTCCGTCAGGCTAATGGATTGATGCTGAATAGACAATGGGCTTTTGTTCGTCCGTGAACGTCACACACAGTAGACAATGTAATTATCATCTCCAGCCACTTTGATCATGCACTGTCACATACCATTTCCCCTTCCTCCAAACATCCAAACAGGAGTAAAATTCAAGTCGTTCTTGGGTTACATTTGTATTGCTTGACATTTCACATTAACTTCATTGATTCTAAGTTCAGTCCCCTGTCAAATAAATCTACTGTTTGTTGATAATTACTTTTCATCAGTATACTCTACGAGCAAGACATTTTACTTTTTTGAAACACAACAAATTTCCATGAAGATCTACTAAATACACATGTATCTTAGTGCTCAATTTGACAGAACTCTCCAACAATTGGTCATGTAAATTAGAGCCTTGAACAACACCATATGAAATGTAAGAACCACTTACAGTCTCACTATAAATAACACACATGATCCAAGTACTTCATGAAGAATAATTGTATCCATTTTAAAGTACACTGTCTGGCTCTTAAATGTTTTATAAATTTAATGGATAATGAAATTTTTTATATCATTATTCAGAATAATAAATGACACCAAGTTTACAATGGACAAATCTAAGATTTTCTGAGAAAGTCTTCAATATAGCTGTATAAATCTTACACCCCACCTACTGCGGTACTACATAAGCCATTGTAGTCATGTTTGGGGGGGGATTTTTTAAAGGGTTGTTTAAATTTCTCATGTGAAGAGATTGTCTGATTGATAGATTGATTGTATGTTGTTTAACGTCCCTCTCAAAAATTTTTCACTCATATGGAGATCGCAAGATTTTTCTGGAAGATTACCATAAGTAAATGATTAATTGGTGCAGTTTTGGAAACTTATCCAAAATTGGTCCAAATAGATCTAGTCATCTTTGATAAGTGAAAGAAAATATTCAAAAGTTTGTCACAAAATGGCTTATAAAAAAAGATATTAGAGGACATTTAGTTAAATGCAAGTCCTCCTCAACCCCACCCCAAGGCCAAATCCCCGTCCCACAGCCAACTATTTAAATAAGTCTTTACATATATATAGTATGCATGTATGATTTTGTCAGTAAGGCCATATAAAATTAATCTTTAGATTCTCATCCCCGCCCGCCCCTCTCAAAAAGTCCCGACCCGATGTTTTTTATTTTGATTTTTGGGTATTTTCATGTATTTTTATTCAGTAAGAATTTGGTTCAAAGTTTAAGAGTTATCTCCCGTCTGTATTAAAAGTCGCGTGTCGCTATTTATAGCAAAAACGCCATGTGAAGAATGGAGAAAAATCGGCAATAAAAGCAGTTTAAATGTGTAAGGAAAAGATAATTTGTCAGTATAGAGAAGGCAGAGAAGAAAAAATAGCATAATCACATATAGATACCATCACTGGCAGGAGCAAGTACAAGTATGTAGAGAGATTGTAACTAAGTAAAAATAGACGAGGAAAATGACACCTAGTCAAGTTATATATAACGATCTCCAGCTGTGTGACTCTGCTTTGAAATAAAAAAAAAAAATCTACAACATCGTAGACAGACTTAAGAGAAGGCCTATATTTTTCAGTAGAATAATTATTAGAACATTTATATAGATTTTGAAAAATAAGAAGTCACGCATACACAATTTATCCCTACCTCATTTTGTGTAGGGTGTGCCATACAATGTGTACTTGATAATTTGTTAATTAACAATAAATATTTAATTTTTAAAGCAAAAATTTTCTTTAAATATTTAAAAGAATATGAAAAGAATTAAATCTATTCATATTTGCATTAAGGTAATGAAAAAAAAAATGTGTAAGGGGCGTCCATTGTCTTGTTGATACTTAGGCCTAGGCCATACCAATTTGTAAAATAGTTCTTCGGATTTTCAAAAATAAAAAGTGAGGCGAGCGAGCGAAATTTTTTTATAAATATTATTTTTTATTTTGGGTTTCAAAATGAGGCGAGCGAATATAATTAATATTTTATATATTTTAATTAAGTGTGATTTCAAAGAGCTTGAACCTAAAAAATTAAGATAGATATCATTTGCATACCACATGAACTTATCATTCTTAACTTTTTGGAGATTTTTTTTAACAAGTAAAAATGTGTCAAATTTCAAAGACTTTACTTTCATAAATGTAATGTTTTCAAACATCTCCTCTGCTTCCATTTCTATTGCTGTGTATGAAACAACTTTGTACCCATTGTTTTTAACTATAGTACACAGTGTTGTGCAATTAAAAAAATCAAGTACTAGAAAGAAATTAATTGCTGATAAAAGTCAGGGTACTGAGGTCATTCTTTTTAAAGTCAAAGTTTAAATTCTCAATATCAAATTCAGTCATGTTTAAATTTTTATGAAATAAAATTAAAAGGAACTTCAATAAATTATCTTCCTTTTCTCTGATCATTGCACTAGCTCATTTAGAATGAAATTAAATTCATTTTGTTTTCATCTTAAATCATTCAAAAAAGAAATATATTTTATGTGAGTCACAAAACACTTATCTTTCAGTTGATTGAGTGATCGTAAATAATTTAAAGATATAGCTGCATGTATTTACCATAAACGGAGGAATAGAGGAAATTCGGATTAGGAAAAAACGATCGCTTTTGGAAGTAAATAAGTCAGGTAGTTCTGCAAACGGATAAGATTATGGAGATTTATTGACAGTAGGAGTATGTTGTCTGGAAAATATAAACTGGTTGGGAATTTTATAGCCAAAAACGAGTTAAAATACTGGTTGTGCTTTTCATGTATTGCGTGTGTAGTTATATTTTTTACTAGCCCGACGAGCTACCTCCTTGTAGAAAACCACTATCCCGACCCCCAAAAATGTTAGCTCCGGGCGTCAGGGGATGCTAATTGCACACCCATTGTACCTATGCACAGTTACAGACATGGTGCAAAACTTCACAAACTGCTTCAATCTCACTATAAATCCCGCGCATCTGTCATACATGTGTGTTTGTTGCAAAAAGTCGAGAAAAAAAAATTGCAGTCGGATTTTTTTGGAAGCGCGCGCGGACATTTTTTTTAAAATATTATAATTTGCATTTGTAATAAATAGAAGCGGCGAATCCAACGAACTATATTAGAAATTGGTATGGCCCTATATATAAATTAACAATTATAAAAAATAAAATCCGCCCACCCGCCCCAATTTTTTAGCAAATTAGGATGAGAATCTAAAGATTAATTTTACCTGGCCTAATAGGAAACTCTTAATATATATTAATTAACAATATTAATTATACTTTAAAATGACTGATATGGAGAGGTAATACTTCAATCAAGTCTGAAGTTCCCATTTGGTGAAAAACTAGTGTCAGATGTACTATTAAGCTCTGCTTAAAAACAAATAATCATTATGTAAACATAGTTTTGTAGAGAAGTGAAACTTAAAAAGCACTTAATTACATACCTTGGACTGTATTGGGAGGGAATCCATTTTTACAACTTGTTCCTCTTCAAAGTCGTTACATTGTACTTCGGTGAATTCCTGGAAAGATAATTTATATTGCACAATAAAAAAAAAACTACCTCAAAGTAAAGCTGTTGACACACAATTTATCAGCTCAATGAAGTCTCACTGCAGTTTGATCCTGAAATCCAGCAGAATTAAATATTTATTTTCACGTTTAGATCTGTGTACTACTGAGAGCTGTTAGAGCATGCAGAGAGAGAGTTGGTGAATTTTTTGGTACACACACTGTGTGATTCATTGGCCACTGTTTTGTAGCTGTTAATAGTGGTAAAATAACACTATTCAATAACTTCTCTTTCAAAAGTCATTCTGTGTGGTATACAAAAAAAATTTAATAATGCACATTTACTTGAATTTTAAATTTTAAATGCTGATCATGTATAATCATCTGTTTACCTCTTTTTAAAAAACCTGGGAAAATGAACCCAAATAATATCTATTTAGAATGTATATATATTTTAGAACATTAAAAAAGGCTAAGTAAATGGGAAAAAAACTGGGAAAAGGTACCTATCAGATCTGCATTCAGCTTGCCTAGAAAGAGACTGAGGTTTATATCTAAACATGTCCAAGTTAATATGTTGACTTTTCTGCAGTTTTATTTGATGAAAATTCTCCAACAAGTAAATACCGGTTATACCCCTGCAACAATTCAGGCATTACGAGAGAGAGAGAGAGAGAGAGAGAGAGTACTGGAATCACTATGTTCAGCCACTCATCTTTCTGTGATGTACATGTTAATGATACGTATACGGTAAACCAATTTTTATTTGCGAGTACTTTATTCCGCGATTTTATGAGGGTGAACTAGTTCGGGACAACTAATTTTCGCAATGAAGCTTATTTTTTAATCTGTTATTAGTAGAAAAAGAGACTTTATGGATCGGTTCGAGGCAAGAAATATTCACGATGATGAGGCTCTCGTGAAAATTTCTCGCACGCAAATAAAAGTTGGTTTACAGTATGTGGTATTTTTAAGGCATCAAAGAGGTAAATAATCTTTTCAATCTGAAATGAAAGGTGGGTACTTCTAAGAGCATGAGTGACTACATAAAGATATTTCCCTGATAGAAATGAATTATTGATAAGAAATTTTTTTTACTAACAAAGTTATTGATTCATTTTTATGCTATATCTATGTACAATCACGTATTCAATTAAATCAGTTAATATTTAATATTAGTTGCAAAGGATTAAAATCTCTGTCATCATTGGATCTGTTAATTACTACATGTAATTTAATATTAACATAAAATCAATTATTGTGGTTAGTAACATTTGAGCACATATTTGATCATATGATATATTACAAAGAAAACAGGCATGTTATCACAAAAGCTTCTAACTGCATTGACATTTAATCATCATCAAAATTTCAAATGTTTATTCAATCGAGCAACAAACTCTTTTCAACATCAACAAAGAAAAAAAAAAAATGATGCAGTACCCAAAATTGAGACAGCATAATATGTGCATTCCATCAAAGCCTAGCCTTAAAACTTTATGACAGTTTTCTAATACACCATCATAACTCTCCCTGCAGTCCTTATACATATTTATTCTACGGACCATTTCTTTCTGGTCTATGCCTGTATACATATTATTGACAAGCATTCCTGGAGACTGCAGAGAAATCAAATACTGCGTAGGGCCACTGAACCAAGAATGGAAAACAGAATACAAGGACAGACAAAGCCTAATTTATTACTGATTTATATGAAGCAGTGAAGAAAGAAGCTAGATGTATTAAAGATTCAAACAGAGTATACCATGTGTGCTAAAGCAATAAATATACAGTGTGTGCAAGATTTCTTAATTATCTGCATGATTATGATCAATTCTTATACAGTCAACCTCCCAATCCCAACTTCACATGGACAGAGAAAAAACTTTGAGATATCCAAGAATTCCACATATTGAGAGTAAAATTCATTTCCTTACAGAAAAACTTCCAAATCATTTCAACATATCTATCACTCTATGGTAATAAAGATATGTAACATGTTCAAGATTTCAAAGTTCAGCAGCATGTACGATCTGATTTTGAATATTTCTATTGATTCTTTCCCTAGAGTTCTTTATATATCATTCAGCTTCTCATTGGTTGAACAACATTTGTTAACTTCAGTTACCCATGATTGAAACGAGTCATTGCTGTAACCAGTTGAAGAAAACCTTCAAATAAGTTGTGAAATTAGAATTAATTTTCAACTGAAATTTAATCAATAATCTTCAAAATTTTGTAAGTCAACTCTTTTAAAATATATTAATTAAGTTTCATTCACACATTTTTTTTTTCAAAGAGCTAACTTTTAATTAAAAAAACCCTTTTTTTGAGTTGTCATTTATAGACATGCAGGAAAAACTGATTGTACATGTTTAAAATCACAACAAGGGATAATGACTACAAATTTGGGTTCAAAGTCAGATATGCACATGCTATTAAGTTGCAAAAAGGGAAGCTAAGCTTGAAATTTAACGTCCATTTCAGTCCACCATAAACCACATTATGAGGAAACTATACCAACATGTTAAATATGAAAGTAATGTCTTTAATAAATAAATATTGCAGTGCATATTTTCAAAAACAGTAAATTGCATGAGCTATCAAATATCTAAGAAGATCGAGAAATACAAAGAAGTATTGAAAAGGAATAATCAACAATCAAATTAAGAACAATTTTTGTCATATTCTTTCAAATCTTACAATATAAATTATCATATAATCCCTATTAAGCGCCCCTGCCCCTATAAGCGCCCCCTTAGGTCTTTTTCATTTGACAGGAAATAAGGGCCCCCTGTACAGGGATTAAAATCAACTAGAATTGTATCAAAAATGGAAGAAAGTGAAAATGAAACTTGTCTATTATCCAATTTTTCAATGGAAAATGAATAATTTAGCATAATTTGGGTGGATGATCTTCACTTCAAGTAAAGTCAGACATTATTTTAGCGGTTCCTTGTATTCAATTTTTTTTTTTCAAATGATTTTCTGAAGTTAAAATATGACATTAAATATCATAAAGAGAATACAAAAATAACCGCCCCCTTTTTGCAATTATCTAAGCGCCCGGGCGGTTTATAGGGATTATACGGTATATCGTAATGCTTCCATAAAGGATATGCAAAGTAAATTGATCAGTCTCAAGGTTCTTGCTAAGAAAAATATTGTAGTTAATTACTCAGGCTAGTCAGGGTTGTCTTTATAACTGAAATAGCAGGAGACTTAAGAAAGTAGGAAAGTGTCTATGATCCCCACCCCCAAAACAGGGGGTTGATGGGAATACCAGAATAAATGTGTGATAGTCACTAAAGGTGGGGAGATCCCCCTCCCCCTTCCATGTTACTATAAATATACAAATACTACTTAGTTTATACAGAGCTTTGCATTAACTGCTGCCAGAAACAAAGGAGACACTTCACTGGCAAAAGTAAATATACAGTAACGTTGACATTGCTCTTTCCATTTAGAACTCAAAAGAACATAAATAACATGCTAAAATATTTTTATAATTTCAATTCATGAAGTGTATAAAAAAAAAGATGACAATATTAATAGATTAAATTATTATAAAAAGTGGTCAACAAAAATGCAGCATTGTACAGCTGTTGTAATCATTATAATTTTTAAGTTGTCAATTTTTTCTCTCTCTCAGAAGAATATAAACACTATTTTAGTATGTCGGTGCCCTCAGTTCAAAACACAATCTATAACGTTAACACAATGCAATACACATCGATACATTAAAGAAGGGGATTGAGGAAATAAATCTTAAAAAATTATATAGAAAAGAACCAATTACGATAATTATGTTCACTTGTCAAGTGATATAATAACTGTATACTCACTTAATATATACACTAGAACATAAACCTTTTCAAAACACGGTCTTTCAGGTGGAGGGAAATCTCAGTAAACATGAAGTCTCGCGTACATAATAATTCGAAGGCACCGACGAGATTTCCTATTAGATTATTCCACGGCACTGAACATGGGGGGTGGCAGACTAGATAATTGTTCTTATACGTGTATGATAGCGTGAAAAAAGGGGTTAGGTTACATAAAATTGTAAAAATTTCTATGTTAAAATATATTCCTTGAAAAAACCAATTTGAATACATATTCAATCCATAATTCAAAAGCAATTAGGAAGTGGTGTGATGCTAACCCTCCCTACTTACGTTAGGCATGCGATCCAATATGTCTGCGCCCATGAAACAACAGTTGTTGAAAAAGAACTGAGACAACTCTAGCTCTAGATGACTATCGAAATGCCGGAATCAAGAGAAACCATGGAACAGAAACAGAGTGAAATATTTTTCGTAAGTTTTCATGGTGATTAAGCACCAGGAATTGTCTAATTTCGGAGTATGCATTTAAAAAAAAATGTTTTGGTAAGGTTTTAATATTTGTTTTGGGATGATATATAAGTTATAACGGTTATTGTTTATTATTGAACAGGAAGAGGATGATTTACCCTTCGAAGAAGAAATCCTTCGCAATCCATACTCTGTGAAGTCATGGTTGAGGTATTTGGAATTTAAGAAAGAAGCACCAAGGACTACAGTTAATTTGATATATGAGAGGTCACTCAAAGAACTCCCTGGCAGGTAAGAAAAAAGAGTTATTGTATATCAGATATTGACTATGAATACATGCTGTTTGGTTGTCTTTTTTTTGTAACATCTTTGTTATGAATTTTTTTTGGATCAGATCTGTTTAAAAATATTCAAAGTGTTTCGAGTAACTGTTAAATAGATTGAACTTGAACCCATAGTGTCAATTTGTTACCAAAAGGCAAACAAGTATTCCACCTATCTGTGGCAAAATTTGGTAAGGTACATGATGCACCAGCATGGCCGGGATTATAATCAAGGTCTGGTTTGTCACATTTTCTCCATTGCACTAACTTTGATTAAATTAGCATTTTACACAA